TCGTTACCAGTGTTCTGTGTTTGGGAAGCTGCCCTCCATGTTTTGCAGCTGTCCCTTTCCATATGTCTTTTAATGCCCTCTGTCTTTTTCTGTTTCTCTATTAGACTTGCAATTTGGCCAAATTTGTGCCGAATGAGTAGTCGGTCGAATTCCTGAACTCTGAGTTGAAATTTACACGAATCATGAACCAACCGAGTATGTTCATTCCGGTTTGTAATTCTGAAGTTGCCCAGGGCTCTCAAAAAAAAAAAAAAAAGATACCTAATGGGGGAAAAAAAAGATGATTTATGGCTAGGAGACAGTCACTAAATGTTGATTTTTTTTTCATAAGTCAAGTAAGAAGTGTGCAAAAAAAAAAATATTGGTGTTTATATTGTTAATAAATATATAAATATAATGTTTTTTACTGCTCTGCCTGTTTCATGCTATTGGTTACTTTTTCTCACTTGATCTGTGAACCAAATTTTGGGACTGTGCTCCTATCAATGTACTGCAAAATATATACATAAAGTTATTACATTATTCTGCCGAGCCAAGCCTACATTTAGCCTACATTAACCATTTAGGGAAGGCGGGCGTTCTATGCCGTCCTTGGGGACCTGGTCCTAAATGCCGGCGGGCGGCATAGAAGTCTCTGCCATCCTATTCATTTACCCGGTCTCCGGTGATCCCACACCGGCGATTCCAGTGGGGTGACTCACCTGGCATCCCAGTCAATCCCACTGCTTCCGTTTCCACCCCCCGGGCATGTGATCGCGAGGTACTTGCGAAGATCTCACGAGCACATGGATGGCACAGCCGTCCACAGCAATGCCAGCAGGGCGACTGCCTGGAATGACAGGTAGTTCCCCTGCTGGCTGTAATTGTTAAAAAAAAAAAAAAAAAGTTAAAACACAGTTTGAAATAAAATATATACTTAGATCATATATATATTTATCATATATATATGATCTAAGTATGTATATACACATATACATACATACACTGTATAAGTGTATTTTAATATTAATATATATATAATTATATATGTATATATAAAAATTTATATAAAAATACACGTACAATGATATTGATTAAATATATATATATATAATTATAATTATATTTATATATAATATCAAAAAATAAATATGTAAATACGTTAAAAATAAAAAAATGATGAAAAAAATGATGAAAAAATATATGTGTGTAATTTCGTGCTAACTGTATTTTGATATTAATATATATTGATATCAAAATACACGTAGAACTAAATAATATATATATCTATATACAAGTATATACGTATATATCACTATATAGACCTATATATAAATAAAAATAATAAAAAAAAAATATATATATTAATTCTTTGTATATATTTATGTAATATTTTTACATAATTAGGTCATTTTATTAATTACAATTTGCGGGACATGCCTGGCAACCCACGCCGAAAGTATAGGGAATTAAATTTGCTGTCACTATATGTAACCAAGACTTTAACTTTCCAAGACACCATAAAACCTGTACATGGGGGGTACTGTTCTACTCGGGAGACTTCGCTGAACACAAATATTAGTGTTTCAAAACAGTAAAATGTATTACAACGATGATATCATCAGTGAAAGTGAAGTTTTTTGCATTTTTCACACACAAATGGCACTTACACTGACGATATTATTGCTGCGATACTTTTTACTGTTTTAAAACATAAATATTTGTGTTCAGCAAAGTCTCCTGAGTATAACAGTACCCCTCATGTACAGGTTTTAAGGTGTTTTCAAAAGTTACAGAGTCAAATATAAGGCTTGCGTTTCAGTTTTTTCACATTGAAATTTGCCAGATTGGTTAAGTTGCCTTTGAGACCGTATTGTAGCCCAGGAATTAAAAAATCCCTCCATGATGGCATTGCATTTACAATAGTAGCCGCGCACCCACGTTTTGGGGTCGAAGATCGATCTCGGCCAATCAGAAAGGTAAAGCATGTATTTAAACTCAAAATTACCTTTCCTTATTGCCCTGTCGTGGTTTCCTTAGTGGTTGTTCGAGAGTGTGTTCCTGAACGGTTTTATTCTGTTTTTTTACTTTGGCTTTGTTTTTGACTTCCCTGTATTCTGGTATCCCTGACTTTTGGCTTTCCCTTATTGTTGTGTCCCTTTCTGTATCCCCTGACCTCGGCAAGTATCCTGACTATTCTTTGGTACGTTAGTCCGGCCATTCTAAGGTCCGGTAATACGTTACCTATCAGTCCTCTGTGTGACACAGTTCTTCGTGCTGGATCAACTAGTAATGCTGACAGTAATATTTTAAACAATTGTATTTGTATTGTATTTGTCAAACAGGTATAAATACAGAGTATTTACCAGTATGAGAGGTCGGTCTGGGAGAATAAAAGATAATCACCAGGATTGAGAGTGATGTTTAGGTGATAATCCGGTTAGTTTGAAAATCCAGAATGTTTGCTAAAGTCCTATCCAGTTCGGCAACAGTAAATCAGTCCATAGGAATATCCAGGAGAAGGGTGAAATCCAATGCGGTTCAGGCAACAATTAATAAGCAAGGTAAGTAGAGTCCGAGTGAAGTGGCAAAGTCCAATCCGGGTCGGTAATAAGTAATAAGCAAATAATTTTAACTGAAAATTTACTTTGAGGGGAATTGGAAGAGTCACTGGGACTTGGTAGAAAGGTACCTGTAGCAGAGTAAATAGGTATCAACCGCACACGGGTAGAGACACATTAATTGTGCACTGAGACATTGAAGTTGAAGGTTTAAATAGGTGGATCCATGAACTTTAATTAGATTCTTAAAGTGATAGATTGAAAAGTGACGTGAACCATTTAAAGGAACAGTTACATAGTTTGCGGTTACTTCATCATAGGTATGTACAAGGCATGTGCTAGGTGTGTCCAGGTCCATTTTAACAGCAAGACCAAATTGTCTTTCCTGTCCCCTGCTTAGAATTCTATTAAGCACTTTGCATGAATGATGTTTAGCTTGTTCTTTTTATTATTTAGAGCTACGGCAACAATTTGTATATTTACCTTATTTATTAAATATGTTTTTTTTTTTAAAAGTAAAGTTTATATCATCTATTAGTTAGTGGAAATGTAACCCTTTTAAGTGTGCTATAGACCCTCCAGGCTTGCAGTGGCAAGTACATTTGAGAACTGTCTAGTAATGAAGGACCGTGTGCTCACCCTAATGTATGATGCAGTGTCTGGTTGTGTTAATCATCATTGCAAGTGCAAGTTCACAGGTACAACTGGTGTAGGACTCTGTTATACACCATATCATTCATGCCCCCCCCACCCACTACTAAGGACTAAGATCGAGAGAGGAGGGCTGATTAAGAAAGGACTAAGATTGTTTGAGAAAGGAGGACTAAGATCGAGAAAGGAGGACTAAGATCGAGAGAGGAGGACTAAGATTGAGAAAGGAGGACTAAAATCGAAAGAGGAGGGCTGATTGAGAAAGAACTAAGATTGTTTGAGAAAGGAGGACTAAGATCGAGAAAGGAGAACTAAAATCAAGAGAGGAGGGCTGATTAAGAAAGGACTAAGATTGTTTGAGAAAGGAGGACTAAGATCGAGAAATGAGGACTAAGATCAAGAGAGGAGGACTAAGATTGAGAAAGGAGGACTAAGATCGAAAGAGGAGGGCTGATTGAGAAAGAACTAAGATTGTTTGAGAAAGGAGGACTAAGACTGAATGAGAGAGAAAGGCTTTAAAGATGAGTATCTCTCTTTTTAAACGATTTTGATGATGTTAATTATCTTTGTAATACAAAATGGAGATCATCTGCAGCACCAACTTGTCTACAAATTAGCTGGGAGTCTGTATGCACTATGTGTTTTGTTTTTACTACTTTTTGTTTTTGATTATTTACTTTGTTATTTTGTAAAGGGAAAATGAAAAGCCGGTATTTGTCTGGAAAAAAATATTAATTCACTAAAGAAAAGTGCACGTTAGAATTGTGAGTAACATTTATTAATCCAAGCTTGTTGCCGGGGCTGAAATAGAGCAATACTTAGTGTGTACAATATGTTTTTTATTGCAAGCAGAGGATATTAGGAAATGACATCACACCAGCTGCATTTGTTTTATTCCACAATATACTGAAACACATTGAATAGAAAAACAAGGGACCAAAAAAGATCACATTATCCCATTTAGTAACTTTAGCGGCCCTTTGTATAAAGATGTATAGCTTTTTGTAGAATATTGAACAAATTGTGCCATTAGTTGTGATGTCATACATTAGCAAAGGAAAAAAAATGTGATAACATTTTATTATATTACGTCAATAATGTATTATAAAATTAATGATGTACTGTATTATAAAACATTCAAATATTCTGAAAACGTGCAGGGCCGTGTTACCAAAGGCATATTACAGCTGCCAAGTGTCTGGAATCTATCTGTCACAACTATTAAAGTTTGTAACCTATTTTGTCAGGAACTCAAATTGTATTAGGTTAATTACCCATACTTACACAGAAACATGTTAATTTATCCCATTGTACAGAGCTGCAGACTAAATTGGTGCTTTATAAATAATAATAATTCAGGATTAGTAAAAAGACAAAGCCCTTTAACTTTTCAAACGCTGCTAATGGTGATCAAACCAGTTAGATGCAAATTCCAGTTCTGCTTCAATAATGGGTTGAATAAAAGTGAGGTTGCACCACAAATATTGTCATTGGGTGAACAATCAATTATTAATAATGTTATTCATTAAAGTATAATTACTAGATATTGTGATCTGCTATAAATTAATCCAGTCCATTTTAAAGGCAACTGTTGAGTGTTACAACTTACTAAGCAGGATTTTTTTTTAATATAAACAGGATAATTATGTTAGAGAAACGAGTCTAATTTACTGAAAATATGGTGCAGGGACGATAGGCAAGACACGATTGGAACTGGTGAGTAATAAATGTTAGGTTACATGCTAGGCAAAGGATAGTAAAGACCACCAGTATTGAGCAGGCTGCTGCTATAGTGCATACATCTGTGTGGGGCTAAGCGGGAGCGTCTGCAAGTGTTTTCAGCCTACTGCGCAGGGTGGGATAGTGCAATGGCATTTGGGACCCCTCTGCCCCTTACTTGATTGAGGATCCACTGTGCTCTGTTAGAATGTCCTTCCCTGTCAGAAGGACTTTTAGCCTACTCGTAGCTATGCGCTGCCAACGGATCATGGACTTGCGACGTCTGTGTACCACGCGTCTTCAGCCTTAAAGGGAACTCGTGCCTTTTGACCATGGATCCCATTGTGAGGATCGTGGGCCCAGGGTTTCTCTGATCCCCGGTTGTCCCCCTGGGTGTATGGTTGGTGAAAGAGAGGTACCTCCAGGTGAGTACCCAGCCCAGAAGAAGGGCGAGCGGCAGAGACACCGGCGTTGTCCACACGTGTGGCTGGATGTGCTGGAACAGTAGGGCTGTTTGTTGGAAGGGCTTCAGTCTTGAGCTGTGGGGCAGGAGTCGTAGGTGGCTGTGCCTGCTCTGTGCTGGCTGCAATCTGGTGCCCGAATGCTGCACAGATCCTGTCAAAGTTGGCATTGAATCTGGCTTCCCATGTTGTCTCAGGTTGTTTGCCCGCTGCATTGGATATTTTGGTTGTGGCTCGGGGGCGAGATGTAGTAACACAGACTGACGGGATGCTCTCGACTGCCTTTTCCCCAATGGGAACCGGGATGTCCCCCACTGGTCCAGGGAGGGAACGGGTTGGCTGTCGTAGCCCAGTAGTCCCAGGGTGGAGGATCGGCCGTTTCCTCCTCCCCTGTAGGATCCGCCAGGTGAGTAGGCTGCAATAGCTGATTTTGGCCTCGGGTGGGCGGAAGAGTCTCCAGAGTCGTTTGAGAGGGTTCCCCATCGGCTAATTGTGGTACGTAATCTCGTTGGTTGCTTTTATGGGGGTTGCACCTCAATTTGAACCATGTATTGCTTATATTTTGTGAGGAGCTCGCCGTACACACGTCCTTCGCCCATCCAGCCCCCAAGTAGAAATTTATATATCTTTTTGGTTTTATTGTAAATTACTCTTTCTGCTACTCTAGGTAAAATCTCCCTTTCCCTAGTCTTGTGTGTGACATCATGTTCTTTCTACAATCCTGTAATGAACAGGTCAGAGAGGCGCCTGAATGTGTCCATTATATGTTAGTTTATTTGAATCATGTTCTATTATGTTTCTAGTGAAGTCAGGTTCAACTTTTATAACATTTCATATTGTATCTATTTTAATATTTTACTAATTGGGTAGCCATCTCCTGTCCATTTTTTAGTTTCACAAACAGGTGCCCAATACAGGATTTTTATGAAGGGGATCTTTCAAGTTTATAGCTCATGATGACACTGGTTAAAACCCCTTCAGCAGCTTAACTTATTCCAGCGCCGAGGTGGGGCTTCTCCTCCTCCTGCCAACGTCAGCAGAGCCAAGCATTCAGGCTGTCAATAAGAACGTTTTTTTCAATGCTATGGATGTTCTGCGCGATGGAGGCATAATATGCCTCCAGCGGCTGTATGTAAGACAGCCACTAGAGGCTGGCTTAACCCCAAATGTAAACATAGCGGTTTCTCTGAAACTGCTATGTTTGCATCTGAAGGGTTAAAACCTGAGGGACATTGCACCCAGACCACTTAATTGAGCTGAAGTGGTCTGGGTGACTATAGTGTTCCTTTAATTAAAAGCCATGCTAGTTTAACTGAATACTTATATATCTAAAATGGGTGGAAAAAAAGAATTATGCATTAGTGTATAAGCAGTAATAGGGCATCCCATTACAAAAAAAAACAAACAAAAGACAAGCTTAATTGAAGTGGTCTTAGTGCAATGTCCCTGTCCCCTTAATCCTGCAATGTTAAAAATTTGAGAAACTGCAATGTTTACATTGCAGTACTAAGCGTCAAACCCCAGGAAGTGCCTCTAGTGGCTGTCAAGTAAACAGCCACTAGAGGCACTTCCTTGGGTTTGACTCTGTGACATGACATTGGACATCCAGTGTCAGAAAACCCTTATAGGAAAGAATTGAGCCAGTACTTTCCTATGGGAAATGCCTAATTCACGTATTTTACACGGCGAGGGCACATTAGGTCCCCCCCCGGATGGACACCGAATTGGGTAGGTGAAAAAATGATATTTTTTTTTTTTTTTATAACTTTGTACTCCTAACCATATAGTTTAAAATACATTTGGTTCTACAAATGGAGACAGATACGTCCACTGCAGTTACTAACATCACATTCTCCCCAGAAAGAAATTTAAAGTGCTAGTAGCAAGAGCAGAATTATTCATCAAAATATGGTCAACATAGAAAATGTACTAGTTAAAGAGCATGTTTCATAACAATAATAAAAGTACACAATGAATTGTGTGGGTATGTTGGAGTGATTGGATTTATAGTCTAGATTATAAAAAAGCCTTGTTTTTTTGAACTAGTGAGAAATTAAATAAAATGTAAGTCCAAAGTAGCCAAACTAAAAGCACAGTTGACTTCGAGAATGTTTCCAATTATGAAATGTTGGACTTGAATTTGAAACTCACCTTGAAATCACTTGAACGTTACAAGTCATGTTCCAAAAATATAGTACAAGTTAACTCAAAGTACAGTAGGTGTTTTGGCATATATTGCTGTTGTGTATGTATATCTATATATAATGATGCACATTTATACATTGAATTGAAGCAGAGATATAAAATAGGAGCAGTAAATGCATTATGTTGCCACCCGTGTGACAGATTCCAGAATTCGACCAAGTAAAATTTTAGAACCACTCAATTCAAAAGCCCTGCTCAGGTATATTTATAACCTGCATGAGTGCCCTGCTGAGGGTGCACAGCCCTCTAACTCCTCTTCCCAAAATCTGCTTTATACACATTTAACCATGCATTCTGCTGTATAGCGTGGGAGCTGGCAGGGACCAGTCTAATGGTTTCCATTTTGCATTGCAAATTACTGTGTATACATAGATTTCATATACAATATTGAAGGGATTAGAGTTAAATTAATTATCCAGACAACCACAGTAAAATACAATTGTATTATAAAAATAATATTGTTGTTATGTTGTGTAGTGGAAAAAATAGACACAATAGCTTCAATACTTAAAAAAAAAAAAATCAAATAGCAACAGTTTCTACTAACATTACGCAGCTGTTTAACAGCTTATCCGCGCTGTCAAAGAATAGGTACAATGAATGAGTGCCAATAGTACTGCTTTTATTTTTCCAAGTGAATGAATGCAACTCACAGCTGCATTGCAGATGTAGAAAGGACTAGAATGAGAAATAAATGTGCTCCATAATTCTCCTATAGACCACAAGATTTCTCCTTGCTCCCTAACCATGAGTCAATCTCACCCAAACCCTGTAAGCTGTTGGGAAAAAAAACCCCTGGGTTTTGCCACAGGGAGGAAGGTAGGTTTTGTTTTCACCTTTAAACATATTTGTTTGTTACATATTTCTGAATTATTCTTTGTTAGTCCTTTGCACTATACTGATTTTTCTGAATGATAGCAAGACAAAACATTTCTATATTCATGACTAACCATGAAAAATGTTATTTCCTAGTATAAACTACTTTTTAACTACTTAAACAATAAAATAAACACATTTGGTATAAAACTGCTTACGTCAATACCGTACTACACTATTATGTGTAGTAACATACAAATACTAAATGTCAACATTTTATTCTTTACATAGAAGTTTAAATTATCTATCCATATAAACAATGGACGGCAGCACAACGGCCCAAAGTACATTTGCTTCAAGCAGCTGAATTTTGTTTCATAGAGAAACAAAGGAAGTCCATAGACAGCTTTCATTTTACCATATTTCATACAATTAAGTAAATTCAGGGATATCGTTTTACATAGAGTGTTACATATTAATCTGTAATTCCGTGCAAGTGATGGTCTCTGCCTCAGAATGGAGAGGAAAGGAGAAACAAAACCCCTGGCTGTTTAACTCCTCTACGAGAATTGTAAGTCAATGCCCAAAGTTAAAATGGAGAACAACTGCATACAAATGGCGGTAGTCAATGATCAGTTTCAATATGTTTTGTTGCATACTGTTGCTTGTGATATAATTACAAGTAGCAAAATGACAGTTGGAAGTTGAACAGATGGTTACATTTCTTTTTGAGCAACATGAAAAGTGGAGTGTAAAGTCAAGTTCGTACAGTCTTTTACTAAACTTTATTTATGTCTACTGCCTCTTCGCTTCATAGCAGCAGTACACTGAGGGCAGTACCATTTGCCTTTTGGAGCTTCTGACAGTCCAACACATCCATAATGAAACCACTCAATTGGGCACTTTAAAGAGGAAGGAAAAAAAAAGATAGAAATTGCAGATTAAAACAAAAACAGAACATATGTTTTAGCGCGTTCTTTCTCTGTGTGACATTATATGTTTCAAAGAAACTCCAAGTATTGTAAAGATATAATATTAGAAGGCAACTGAAAGATAAACAGACTATGTTCATCTTGGAGGAATACAATAAACATTTTATTTTAAAATCTGTATAATGAAGCAATTGTCGTTTTTGACTTTGGTTGACATAGAAAAAAGGAGTAACGACTAATCTGTGTTTTGGAAAAACCTTGATATTTCTTTGGTAGATTTGGGTGGACTCGCTAAACTCTATTGGCAGCTACGTGTACTGTGTGTGGGATACCTCTAGACTCTTCCAGTTCCAAGTACTGTTTGGAGAGCATGTCCTTATTGCTTTCTATTAGTAATAGCATATTTGGACATTACGGCCTCTCATGCCTAGAAATGGTCTGGTCCCATTGCATCTGTGGTGTAACAGAACTGACAGCCTACTATGAAATACTACAAGCAATCATAGCAAATAGAATAGTTATCTTCAGTTATGCAAGTCATGATAATATCTACTAATGAGGTTTATTTACTTAACAGTAAATGTGGTAAATAGGGAAGGGGATTGCAAACAAAGAATATAGTCCAAATAGTGGAGCTGGAGAGAAAGCAGCACATTATTATTAAACACCGCTTACTATTCAGTGAGTTAACGTTAAACTGTAAACATTCAAAATAAAAAAATAAAAAAATGTTGGCATGTATGATTTCAGGTACTTACATCTTGGTTGTCACAGCCTACCATTTCACCGTACGATACCTAGCATGAAAATGAATGACAAACATTAAGAAAATGCACAACCAAATATTCAGGTCAAGCATGTAATTCAGTCTACAGTCTGTTTCAGTGGACATCACTGGCAGGAGAAAGAACTGTAGCCCCAAAATGGGATTTAAACAAGCAAAATATTGCAAATTCTTCATGAAAAGAATTAACTGTGCACGATATTGCATACATTTCACTCTCCCATTGAAAGCATAAATAAGTAAGAGATCTGGCATGCAACATAGAAACATGGCTCTGCGAGGATCAGCTAGGTGAGGAGAATGCATAAAAGTATATGGTATAAAAGAGAGAACTCTTCCACTCAACGGCCAAACACAAAATAGCAACTTCTTTTAAATGGCAAGCTAACTTTTGTGCAAATAAACGATGGTATGATATATGGTTATGTACAATTCAAAATGTTAAAAGGTTTTGCATATACACATAATGTGAAAACACTGACCTGATTGCAAATACAATAACGAGGTTCATTTGGATCATATGTCCAATCTACTTGACTATTTGAATCTGATTCTGGGACAGCAGCTGTTTGTTGATGAGACAGTTCATGTGCTAAGGCAGATGATGACGAACAGGACGATAAAGATGACGAAGATGATGAAGAAGATGACTGCTGACTTGAAGATTTGTTGTTGTTCCTAGAAAGATAAAAGTAGAATAATAAAAAAATAAAAAAAGTGAACATATTTTAATATATTCAAATCATCACACTATTTTGTAAATGTAAGCTATGGATTTATTAAAAATGTATTTTTGCCTTAGCTCTCTAACAACTTAAGACCCTTCACTAACCTGTTTTGAAAGGACTTACAGTTACCCAAATTCAGGCAAAGGCACAATTTAGAGGATTCAAGCTGTGCTCCAAAATGAAGTGGAGGTCAGAAGGGTGTTGTCTCAAGAGACCTGAGTGATATTTAAGTCAGCTCTTTGGCTTGACCCTGAATCTAAGCTTGCTCTACTGTGTGGTGTTCCAAGCGGTTCTGCACAGTCTAGACCTGCATTAAAACCATGATAAAATTTTGTATAGCGACTTTCATTTGTTTTGCATGTAGATGGCAAGAGTCTGTGACTGATTTCAGGGGTAGCGCTGCAGAAAATTAACTCCATACATGGTACGGAGGAATTAACTGCGAATCTATTGGGCAGACTCCTTGCACAGAACAAGGTCTGGCTTCCTTGGAAATAATTACTTCATCTGCTTCGGATTGTTGATCAAGGTGCTGGCAGGTCAATTTTCCCCCCAATCTAGTTCTTTGCACTACTCTTCCGCTGTAAGAGACTAATGGTTACCTCTAACTTTCACATCTCTATGTTATATGACTGTATTGGCGAGTTTATGTCCCAGTCCATCTGTATTTTATTTATTATCTTGTGAAGTATGGTTTTGTTTAGAGTTTTACTTTTTTGAGATTCCTATCGGTGTTTTTAGTGTGTGACTGTCTTTTCATAAAATAAAAAGAACTTCTAGTTTGAGAGAGAGAGAGAAAGGGGTCACAACTCTACTTATCATATATATATATATAATTTGCTTAATCTTAAAGGGACACTGTATGCACTTTAACAACTTCATTTTATTGACGTTGTTATAGTGCCTGCAGTCCTGCCCCCACATCCTATAGTTTACAAATTAGAGGGCTTGGAAGCCAGGCTAGTTTTCTTTTATTTTACAAGGGGCGGGGGGAATATAATTGATTAGGCATCCGTACTGTAGCGTTTGGAATACATACCTTTATTCTATATTGTATTTTGTATTGTATATTGAATTGATATGTATTGGATTTTTATATTGCTATTTTTATGCAGCTTAATCTGTAACTCCTTCCTATTTTCTCAATAAGAATACATAAATCTTTTTAAAACGACTCTTTATCCCCTAACATTTCTGTTTCTATGTTTAGATCTTAGGAATCCTAGGGGTATTACAATGCATCCAAGAACTATATTTTATATTAAAATATCATAATATTTAGCTATGACATCAACTCAATACAGCTTGCTGTTCAGTAACGTTAGACGTAGATGATAAAAAGAAATAAGGTACATTTTCATGTCGAAACCATAATTTGTACTCACTTGCTTTTTCTCCCACTTCTTGAGTCCGTGGTCGCTGAAGAAGTCAATGTCTGTGTTAATGTAGAAGCCAATGCTGAAGATGAGTAATTTGCTGAATCTTTAGTCAAAAACTCCCTCCCAAGTTGGAAATCATTGTTTTTAAAAGCTTCGTAGCTGGCTTTTAGACTAGATGTTCGCCTCCCTTCCTTCATCTATGGACACATGCAACATTTCCATATCACTTAACGTTCACAAAAGCAGTGAGCAGATCTTAACCAGTAAATTTAAATAGAAGTCAATTTACTTCGGAACAAAAATAAAGAAATAAAACATACCTGTGCTGTTGCCTGAACTGCTTGTGCAGCTGCCATTGTAATAGCCCCAGCACCAGCCCCAGATGACAGAGTACTCAAATTATATGATGTCAGTGGCTGGGCGGAATTTACATTGTAGACATTATTTGTGGAGGATGAGGATATATTATTTCTGCAGCCTTAGAAGGAAAAACAGGACATGTATCAAATTGAAATATTTCTTTATAATGTGTAATTCTATACATTTTACGTAACTTATCTGATCAGCGTTAATTGGCTAAACAGTGTAGTGCCTAACCTTGGCACATCAGATATTTATAGACTATAATATAATATATACTATCTTGTGAAATGAGGTTCGCAAACCTGGAAGGTTAGTAATGACTTCATTTCAATGGATTGTTGAAGTAAAATTTGACCCTAAACTTTTTGATGCATTATTTAAAAAAAAATAAAAAAAATAAAAAGAATGGAAAAGAAAAAAGAAACTGGCAACTACCGGGTGTATTTTCTTTGGAAGCATCGGAGGTAAGAGTTGACAGCAAAGCTTCAGATTTGAATTTCTTCTCAGGTACATGGTCTGTAGTGGAATGATGAGATGATGGATTGTGTTTCCTTTCTACACACAAAAACATGCAGATATTGCTCATTTTGTAATATCAGATTTGGGGGAGGGGAAAAAAATAAAAACAATTATACTTACTCTCCCCAGAGGAATGTGAATGTGCATGGTGATTATTGACTGGCTGAGATGGAGTATCCATCTCCAGGGATCCTAAAATATGAAAAGTAAGGTCTGTATTGTATTACCTCAACAAATCCAAACAGTCTAAAATCTTTACAACACTTTCTAAAGATCAAGTCCTGGTTGAGTTATGAAGAATAATGAGAACTTGACAATTTGAAACATACCAAGACACAGCACCATGCGGAGCACAATGCCTCGCATTAGCTTTACATATCCATCCTGTAATATGGTTTGATCTCCCCTATTTGTTGCTTTCTGAATATATTTAGGTTGTGAAGAAGTGTGATTAAAAATTATTTAACCAGTTAATGTTCACATTTTAGTTATTTTACCACGTGTTTGTTATCAAATACTCCACTTTATGCCTTTGTGTTGTTTTTACAAAGAATACAGAACTTAAATATGCTACCCTTAAACTCTATATAAAATGCAACCATAAATTCAAACTCCACACCCAAAATATTTTTTGCAACATTTACTCTCCACAACATCACCTGTTCTAAAAAAATAATATTGCCTATTATACATAGGCCAAAGTGACACTGAGAAACTACATTTTCTTGAGGGCTATGATCAGGGAGGCAATCTATATCAGGACACACCTGAGAACACACAAAGAAGGATCAGAGATTGATCAGGGTTGTTTTTGGGCTAGGATGCTTACACTGCACTGCTGGAGTGGGACCTCTTGAGTGCAAAGAGAACTGTTACTTGGAGCAGACTGAAACATCAGTTATTGTGTTTAAAGGACCACTATAGTGGCAGGAAAACATACTCTTTTTCCTGGCACTATGGTGCCCTGAGGGTGCCCCCACCCTCAGGGACCCCCTCCCGCCCGGCTCTGGAAAGGGGTAAAACTTACCTTTTTCCAGCACTGGGCGGGGAGCTCTCTGCCTCCGATCCTCCACCGTTCCTCCCCGTCGGCTGAATGCGCACACGCGGCAAGAGCTGCGCGCGCATTCAGCCACTCGCATAGGAAAGCATTTACAATGCTTTCCTATGGACGCTTGCGTGCTCTCACTGATTTTCACAGTGAGAAGCACGCAAGCGCCTCTAGCGGCTGTCAGTGAGACAGCCGCTAGAGGCTTTGGGGGAAGGCTTAACCCATTTATAAACAAAGCAGTTTCTCTGAAACTGCTATGTTTATAAAAAAAAAAAATGGGTTAACCCTAGCTGGACCTGGCACCCAGACCACTTCATTAAGCTGAAGTGGTCTGGGTGCCTAGAGTGGTCCTTTAACCCCTTAAGGACACATGACATGTGTGACATGTCATGATTCCCTTTTATTCCAGAAGTTTTGTCCTTAAGGGGTTAAAAAACTAAATAAAAATAAAAAACACTACTTAGTAACTGCAAACAAGGAAAATGCACAGCAGGACAAAGGTGGAAAAATAAGAGAGCCTAGAAGTTCAAGGGCATCCAATAGTAAATCCTTCAAGGTTTTCATCAATTAAGATCTATACTTACTTCTTTCTAAGACTTCAGTAATCCCTGCATTATCCGCTTCTAGTTCCATTTTGAACTTTGCCAACTCTTGGTCCAGTTTCCTTAGATGACGATCTACCTACAAGAGAATAAACACAATAAAAACCTAAAATTAATTGTGCATTACTCCCCAAGGCAGAAATGGCTCTCCCCCACTACTTCAGTTTTGAACTATTTTTCAATGATATCCAGAAAAATGATAATTCACAGTGGAAAAAAGTACTACTTATACTTCCAATGTTTGGACAATGCACAAGACAGGGGTGGCCAAAAGGCAGAACCTCTGCTCTCATGATACTTTAAGGATGGCAAAGCATAATGGAAGTAGGTGTACAAGAGTAAAACTTATCTGCAGCCTTAACAAGCCCACTCATTCTTCCTTAGCCAAGATTTGCTGTGGCTGTCCAATCATAGAGTTCCCAATGCAGCTTAATGACAAGTCTTTTGGAAGAAAGGTGCTCTGAGCAATTGCCTGCCTCTTGACTTAAGCTGAACTTAGTTAAACCCAGGAGCAACAGGACAAGTTGTGTGAAAGCATGGCTGTAACAAGGTTAATTTAGAAAAGTGCTAATTCGGCGCGTTCTTTTAATGTTTGAGGTAGATGTAAAGATAAGGACATTTTTAATTAACCAACTCTTTTTATTCACACTAAATAATAGTCACCTGAAAACATTGTTTTGGCAAAACAGCTTTTCTCTAACTCTGCTAGTCAGAGATTGTCCATTTTAGCCTTAATTTTTCTACAATTCAGGGCTTAGTATACACACCCCTTACAGTTGAGTCTGATACATTTATTGGCTTTCGCAAGCATTAACTTACCAAGTCATAAATCTGATTGGCTAGCTGAACCTTTTCATCTGCATCTTCTAGTGCTTTAAAGTAATCCTGTAATGTAATAAACAACAGGAACAAGTTATAGTCTCAATACAAAAAAAAAAAAAGCTTTTAAAAAGGAAAATTGTTAATGATGTAAAAATTATTTTGAACTTTGAATATAAGCACAACCGTTATGTAATTCACTGTTAATATGCTTTTTCCATTAGATTACACTTGTAACTGTACAAGCATAAGTATAATGAAACCACTGCTTTAAAACTATCTAAGTCCACAGAAACAGATGCAAGTCTCTTGGACCTCCTTTTTAAAGAATGGTGAACAAATGACATTCCCGAAGTAGCATAACACATACAATACTATGTGACCAGAGTCAATTTGCTAGTAGACACCTACCTTCAAGTGTCAGGACATAGACATTTCCCTTGCTAGATACATTTTGATATACTTTTTGCTACGCAGTAATGGTGATATTTTTTGGAAAGAGCAAGAGATTTGTACTCTATTTTCAGTCCCATACAGAAATTGAATGAACTGACAGATATTGCTGCAAATACAATATTTTAATGCACAAATTCCCCAAAATTGATATAATTCAAAGACCCTTCAGGAAATAAATTAATAAGGTAGCAGCACTCCTAATACTTACTTTCTTAATAGATGCCATTTGTTCATCCCTCCATTCAGGTTTATTTTTCTTTGCATTCACAAAAAACTCTCCAACCCTTTGTTCCAATTGATCCATTGCATCTGCATCAAAAACAAATAATACATTTTGAATGTGTACTTCATGCACTTCTGTCATTATGCAGACTCTATGGAAACACGCAGCTCCACCCACCTGGAAACAGAAGTACTTATCTCCCTCCACCATCTTCCCATTACTAGGTTTCCTCGGCTACTTGCGGCTTAATCTCCCAGGAGACTTCTAAAATTGTGTACTTCTGTGCATGCATGAGTTCAACAGTCTATGTTAGATTCCAAAAAATCTACCATAGACAATCTTATGCTTGAGCAATGAGCTGTCATGGGCATTTACTGACCATAGGACAAGGTTATAGCAAGATATGGAGGCAGAAGCTCTGCCACTTGCCAAAGATCAGGTTTTACATGAGACAAAGAAGTCTGATGTATATCTTCTAATTGTGTTGGAATCTAAAAGAAATTCTGACTATAAACAAGATCATTTCATTCAGATTTTCTCTTTATTTTAAGGTCAAAAGTGAAAGGGCAGCTTTTATACTTTTCACATAACTTACAACATTCACTGTACTGAAGCTGCACTGACTTCTATGGACAAAACAAGCTACAGCTTTTCAATTTCATGTAAAGTTGTGCATTACCAAAAAACTAGGGCTGTTGAGAAAGTTTACAGAGGAGCAAATCGAATCCAGCCACAGAGTCCCCAGATCAGTGCTTCAATGATCTACTTTGTTTTTGTGTTACACTACTTTGCAAGACATAAAAAGATTCTATTAAAAAAAATCTCAGTGTAGTCTATTTCGTCAGAATGAGTCAATGCAGCTGTAGTACGGTATGTTTTGTAAGTTACATAAAAAGGCTGCTTGTGGAAATTGCAGCTTGCATTGGTAACTTTTTTTAAAGTTTATATAGTACATTCTAGTATAAATTAAAACCTAAAGTGGATCTGTCAATTTTAGGGACCTTTGCACATGCTGAACACTTCCGAAACAAACAGACCCACTGTGTGTCTAGTGTCCACGGGGTGGTGAGTTTTACTTACCTCCAGCTGTCCCTCGCTGCCATCTTCATGTGGAAGATCTCTCTGGCACCTGACACCAGCTGCCAGGAATCACGTCAGTGCTGTACTCTTGCACATGTGCAAGACTATAACACTGAAGTCTATGCAGGATCATAGACCCGCAGCCATTACTTGTGGCAGTTGTTGAGATTGGACAAAAGTTGAAACAGGAGTTCCTCCTTTTCTCAACCACAGGCTCAATATTACTTTGTCTTAGATCTTTGGATTCCATTGTAATTTCAGTGAAATTCCAACCACGTCTTTATCAGAATTTCATAAAGTTTATATCTTTATAAAATACTGGAAAGTAACAGACCCGCTTTAACAAAAGTGGGATAATTTTCCAGTTTGGTTATTCTGTCTACATTTGAAATTCAGAACTATTATTATTAACAATTCTAAAATAATCTGGAGGTGCTTTACATTTAAAATATTATGTTTGTTTACCCTCTAAGTAATGTCTTATTATTCAGTGTATTGCTCTCCTCCAATCCTCTCATATTAAGCGAACACTATGTCAGGGATACAAATGTGTATTCCTGACACTATAGTTAAGAAGTCACCATTTAGGAGGGCGGCCATAGGCCTGGGCACACCCTAATCCCCGCGGCACACCTATGTATATTGAGACCGGCAGGGGAGATCTCAGGATCTCCTCTGTCGGCTCATGCAGAGCCGGCGCTATCCGAGCGCCGGCTCTGCTCTCGGCCTCCCTCCTCACCGACCCACATGCAGGGAGGGAGGAGAGAACCGGCGGAGCTCTTGCCAGTAGCTCCGCCGGGTTCCTCTCGCGAGATGAGCGTTGCCACGGCAACGCTCAAATCTCGTGAGAGTTAACTCTAGCCCCACAGGGACTAGAGTTCACTCTCCACTGGACCACCAGGGAAGGCAACAGGAACAAGGATCCCCCCCTCCCAGGCATAAGGTAAGAAGGGAGGGGGGATATCAAGTAATGTAGCTTCACATACAGCACACACACCCACACACATACACAGCACCCACACACATACAGCACCCACACAAACAGCACCCAAACAGCACCCTCACACACAGCACACTAACAGTACCCTCACAAAAAGGCCCCTAGCAAACACACACAGCACACTACCAGCACCCTCACACACAGTACATTAACAGCACCCTCACAAGCGCGCACACACAAACACCCTCACCCACTACCAGCACCGTCACACACACAGTGTATATATATATATACATACATACATATATATGCGGCGTGTGCTTGTGCTTTAGGGTGCACACCCTAATGCAATAGGCTGCGCACGCCTATGAGGGCGGCCCTCTTGAAAACAGGTATTTCACTTACCTTTTTCCCACACTGTGCTGGTCTTGCCATGGCTGGCTCTGCCCACACTCTACTTACTTCACTGAGATCGTCAATTTTGATGATCTCAGCCAATACAATGTTTTCCCACAGGAAAGCATTTGGAGGCTACTGCGCATGCATGGCAAAATGTAACGTTGAGCCAATCAGCTTTTCTTCATAGAGATACATTGAAATATGTAGAGAGTGGAGACACTGAACATCGGTGCTACACCCAGAAAGCACCTCTAGTGGCCGCCTGACTGACTACCACGGAGGTGTCTCAAGGCAGTAACGCTCTGTGAAAAGGCAGTGTTTACATTAAAATGCCTGCAGGTACATTAAGCTGTAGTTGTTCCGTGCCTATAGCATCCCTTTAAGACATGTTATTTTTAACTCATATTGGTATTAATTTTATTATTATTAATATTTATACAATTGACATATTTATACAAGCTGACATTTCCTGTGAGTTACTCACACTGCCCTCTGCCGGTCACTGTGTGTGTGAGCAGTGAAGGGTATCCCCACGTGACTCATTCAATGTGAGAGCTCCGCCCCCTGCCAGTCACTGTGTGTGTGAGCAGTGCGGGGTGTCCCCACGTGACTCGCTGTAGCTGTGCTAGCCCCGCCCCCTGGCGGCCAGACCCCACGTGACTCGCTGTGACTGTGCTAGCCCCGCCCCCTGTCGGCCAGTCCCCACGTGACTCGCTGTGGCTGTGCTAGCCCCGCCCCCTGGCGGCCAGTCCCCACGTGACTCTCTGTGGCTGTGCTAGCCCCGCCCCCTGGCGGCCAGTCCCCACGTGACTCGCTGTGGCTGTGCTAGCCCCGCCCCCTGTCGGCCAGTCCCCACGTGACTCGCTGTGGCTGCGCTAGCCCCGCCACCTGGCGGCCAGTCCCCACGTGACTCTCTGTGGCTGCGCTAGCCCCGCCCCCTGGCGGCCAGTCCCCACGTGACTCTCTGTGGCTGTGCTAGCCCCGCCCCATGGCGGCCAGTCCCCACGTGACTCTCTGTGGCTGCGCTAGCCCCGCCCCCTGGCGGCCAGTCCCCACGTGACTCGCTGTGGCTGCGCTAGCCCCGCCCCCTGGCGGCCAGTCGCGGTATGACAGGCTCCCCGTGTCTCGGGCCCCTCACTCCGGCCCCCCCGGGCCTGTGATGACGTACTCTGCACCTGCAGGTCCATCTCCCGCATTTCGGTGAACCTGTCGCGGAGATCCATGGGAAGCTGCTCGATCACTGCGGAGACAGAGGGGGAGGGGGAGATGGTTAGTCAGAGTCCGGCCCCGGAGTCGGCCCCCCCGGACAGCCCGGCCCTCACACTCACTCTCCAGGTAATCCTCCAGGTACAGCATGGTGGGTGTCTGGGCCGCCGACTCGCTCACCGAGGGGACAAATCACAGACAAGATGGCGCCGGGCGGAGGACAAACAAACCCGCACTGAGCGCGAGGGACGACGCTGCGCCGCCGCTGATTGGCTGATCGGGCGGTGACCTCAGAGCGCCCGCAATGCCTGCCGGGAAATGTAGTGCCGATCCGCAACGCCATGAGCGGGCTGGGAGTGGGAGCGCCATCTACAGGCAGCACAGAGAATGGTCACCGGGCGGCATTCAACAGCGCCATCTACAGGCAGCACAGAGAATGGTCACCGGGCGGCATTCAACAGCGCCATCTACAGGCAGCACAGAGAATGGTCACCGGGCGGCATTCAACAGCGACATCTACTGCTGGAATACAGGAATGCATTCAGAATGCTGCATGCTACAGCCCCATCTACAGACTGCATGCAGGAGCCCCATCTACAGCCAGCATGCAGGAGCCCCATCTACAGACTGCATGCAGGAGCCCCATCTACAGACTGCATGCAGGAGCCCCATCTACAGACTGCATGCTACAGCCCCATCTACAGACTGCATGCTACAGCCCCATCTACAGCCAGCATGCTACAGCCCCATCTACAGCCAGCATGCAGGAGCCCCATCTACAGACTGCACGCAGGAGCCCCATCTACAGACTGCACGCTACAGCCCCATCTACAGACTGCATGCTACAGCCCCATCTACAGCCAGCATGCAGGAGCCCCATCTACAGCCAGCATGCAGGAGCCCCATCTACAGACTGCACGCAGGAGCCCCATCTACAGACTGCATGCTACAGCCCCATCTACAGACTGCATGCTACAGCCCCATCTACAGACTGCATGCTACAGCCCCATCTACAGACTGCATGCAGGAGCCCCATCTACAGACTGCATGCAGGAGCCCCATCTACAGACTGCATGCAGGAGCCCCATCTACAGACTGCATGCTACAGCCCCATCTACAGACTGCATGCTACAGCCCCATCTACAGACTGCATGCTACAGCCCCATCTACAGACATGCAGGAGCCCCATCTACAGACTGCACGCAGGAGCCCCATCTACAGACTGCACGCAGGAGCCCCATCTACAGACTGCATGCTACAGCCCCATCTACAGCCAGCATGCAGGAGCCCCATCTACAGCCAGCATGCAGGAGCCCCATCTACAGCCAACATGCAGGAGCCCCATCTACAGCCAGCATGCAGGAGCCCCATCTACAGACTGCACGCAGGAGCCCCATCTACAGACTGCATGCTACAGCCCCATCTACAGCCAACATGCAGGAGCCCCATCTACATCCAGCATGCAGGAGCCCCATCTACAGACTGCATGCTACAGCCCCATCTACAGCCAACATGCAGGAGCCCCATCTACATCCAGCATGCAGGAGCCCCATCTACAGACGTGCCCAGGAGCCCATCTACAGACTGCGCAGGAGCCCCATCTACAGACTGCATGCAGGAGCCCCATCTATAGCCAGCATGCAGGAGCTCCATCTACAGCCAGCATGCAGGAGCCCCATCTACAGCCAGCATGCAGGAGCCCCATCTACAGCCAGCATGCAGAAGCCCCATCTACAGCCAGCATGCAGGAGCCCCATCTACAGACTGCATGCAGGAGCCCCATCTACAGACTGCATGCAGGAGCCCCATCTACAGCCTGCATGCAGGAGCGCCATCTACAGCCAGCGTGCAGGAGCGCCATCTACAGACTGCACGCAGGAGCCCCATCTACAGACTGCATGCTACAGCCCCATCTACAGACTGCATGCAGGAGCCCCATCTACAGCCAGCATGCAGGAGCCCCATGCAGGAGCCCCATCTACAGCCAGCATGCAGGAGCCCCATCTACAGACTGCACGCAGGAGCCCCATCTACAGACTGCATGCTGCAGCCCCATCTACAGACTGCATGCTACAGCCCCATCTACAGACTGCATGCTACAGCCCCATCTACAGACTGCATGCTACAGCCCCATCTACAGACTGCATGCAGGAGCCCCATCTACAGACTGCATGCAGGAGCCCCATCTACCTCCCCGTACGTGGAGCTCCCCATCTACAGACTGTACGGAGCCCCATCTACAGACTGCATGCTAAGCCCCATCTACAGACCATGCCCCCATCTATAGCCAGCATGCAGGAGCCCCATCTACAGACTGCATGCAGGAGCCCCATCTACACAGACTGAACTGCATGCACAGCCCCATCCACAGACTGCATGCAGGACCGCCCATCCACAGCATGCAGGAGCATCTACAGCCAGCATGCAGGAGCCCCATCTACAGGAGCTGACAGCCCCATCTACAGACTGCATGCAGGAGCCCCATCTATAGCCAGCATGCAGGAGCTCCATCTACAGCCAGCATGCAGGAGCCCCATCTACAGCCAGCATGCAGGAGCCCCATCTACAGCCAGCATGCAGAAGCCCCATCTACAGCCAGCATGCAGGAGCCCCATCTACAGACTGCATGCAGGAGCCCCATCTACAGACTGCATGCAGGAGCCCCATCTACAGCCTGCATGCAGGAGCGCCATCTACAGTCAGCGTGCAGGAGCGCCATCTATAGACTGCGTGCAGGAGCGCCATCTATAGACTGCATGCAGGAGCGCCATCTACAGACTGCATGCAGGAGCCCCATCTACAGGCAGCTAAAGGGAGTGCCTTCAGTAGGCGGCTTACGTGAGCGCCATCTACAGGCAGCTAAAGGGAGTGCCTTTAGTAGGCGGCATACGTGAGCGCCATCTACAGGCAGCTAAAGGAAGTGCCTTCAGTAGGCGGCAGACGTGAGCGCCATCTACAGGCATCTAAAGGGAGTGCCTTCAGTAGGCGGCATACGTGAGCGCCATCTACAGGCAGCTAAAGGGAGTGCCTTCAGTAGGCAGCATACGTGAGCGCCATCTACAGGTAGCAGGACTCAGTAGCACCCTCAAAAGGCAGTGTGCAATCACAACACAATATTTCCAGTTACCCTGAGTTCTCCACAAATCCTGATTTAATGAATAAATCTCTCTCTATTTTTTATTCAGTCTTCGCTTACTTACTCAAGGGATATTTTCCAGTGACATGGAAAAACAAACAAGATGCTTAAAGGACCACTCTAGGCACCCAGACCACTTCAGCTTAATGAAGTGATCTGGGTGCCAGGTCCAGCTAGGGTTAACCCATTTTTTTTATAAACATAGCAGTTTCAGAGAAACTGCTATGTTTATAAATGGGTTAAGCCTTCCCCCAAAGCCTCTAGCGGCTGTCTCATTGACAGCCGCTAGAGGCGCTTGCGTGATTCTCACTGTGAAAATCACACTGAGAGCACGCAAGCGTCCATAGGAAAGCATTGATAATGCTTTCCTATGCGAGCGGCTGAATGCGCGTGTAGCTCTTGCCGCGCGTGCGCATTCAGCCGACGGGGAGGATCGGAGGCGGAGATCTCCCCGCCCAGTGCTGGAAAAAGGTAAGTTTTACCCCTTTTCTCCTTTCCAGAGCCGGGCGAGAGGGGGTCCCTGAGGGTGGGGGCACCCTCACGGCACTATAGTGCCAGGATAACGGGTATGTTTTCCTGGCACTGTAGTGGTCCTTTAACTAAACAGTAGATAGAAAATATTAAGGGAAAAGAGCAAAGCAGGGAGTAAGGCTGGGTTGGCGATTTCAAAGTCAGGTAGAATTGGGCACAAATCTCGCCAGTTTTTTCGAACTTTTAACACCGGAACGAATTGACTCATTGAATAAAATCCCATAGGGAAATTCCAGATGGATAGATTCATTCAGGTTCATTCAAAATAATTTGATTTGAACGATCCGGATTATTCACTAAAGTGAGAATTCACAGTGAATTTTTAAGCTGAAACACTACACATGCACACTTCTACCACCAATTTGAAGGTAAAGCCCTACATACACACTATGGACAAAAGTATTGTAACACCTGACCATTACACCAACAGGCACTGGGGTGGTGGGTCGCAAGGCGATTCCCAGTGTGTCGCGCTGACCCACACATGCAGGGCCGCCGGCTAGTCAGGCAGGCAGACTGATTAGTCAGGCTCTCGGTCCGTGACTGCGGGCCCGACACCAGGAGGGGGCCCGGCGGCTTGCCCAGTATGCCGCCGGGCTTCCTCCAATCAGTCTGCCCAGCAACTCCGCCAGGTGCAGAGCTGCAGACCGTGTGATAGAAGTCTTGCGAGCACCCAGAGCGTTACCATGGCAACACTCTGGGAGCTTGTGAGACTTATTACACGGTCTGCAGCTCTGCACCCGGTGGAGCTCAGACTGGAGAACCACAGGACCACCAGGGAGACACTGGACCACCAGGGAATTTATTAAAAGGTAGGACACAGACCATGCCCCCCCGTAACCCCTTCACTCCCTGCCACCCGTAACCCCTTCACTCCCTGCCCCTCTGTAACCCCTTCACTCCCTGCCCCCCTGCAATCCCTTCACTCCCTGCCCCCCTGTAATCCCTTCAATCCCTGCCCCTCCCACTGTAACCCCTACTCTCCCTGTCCCCCTCAATGTAACTCCTTCACTCCCTGCCCCCCTGTAACCCCCTCACTCCCTGCCCCCCTGTAGCCCCCTCACTCCCTGCCCTCCTGTAACTCCTTCACCCCAGCCCCCTGTAATTCCTTCACCCCAGCCCCTGTAATTCCCACTCCCAGCCCCCTGTAACTCCCTTCCTCCCCTGCCCCCTCAGTAACCCCTTTACTCCCTGCCCCCTCCCCTCTGCTGTAACCCCTTCACTCCCTGCCTCCCCACTGTAACCCCTTCACTCCTGCCCTAACCCTTCCTGCTCCCTGCCCCCCCCCCTTCCTCCCTGCCCTCCACTGTAACCCCTTCACTCTTGCCCCTTGTAACTCCTTCACTCCCTGCCCCCCCTCAATGTAACCCCTTGACTGGTTGCCATGGTGTGCCAAGTTTATACATCTAAAACAGATTGCCATGATGTACCAATTTTATGCATCTAAAGCTGATTGCCATGGTATGCCAATTGTATGCATCTATAGCGGATTGCCATGGTGTGCCAATTTTATGCCTCTAAAACTGATTGCCACGGTGTGCCAATTGTATGCATCTACAGCAGATTGCTATAGTGTGCTAATGTTATGCATCTAAAGCTGCCATAATGTTCCAAAAGTATGCCTGTAAAGCTGATTGCCACGGTGTGCCAATTGTATGCATCTAAAGCGGATTTCCATGGTGTGCCAATTTTATGCCTCTAAAACTGATTGCCACGGTGTGCCAATTGTATGCATCTAAAGCAGATTGCTATAGTGTGCCAATTGTATGTCTCTAAAGCTGATTTGCCATGGTGTGCCAATTTTCTGCCTCTAAAAGTAATGGTCAAGGTGTGCCAATTGTGTGCATTTAAAACAGTTTGCTATGGTGTGCCAATTGTATGCCTCTAAAGCTGATTGCCATGGTGTTCATGGTGTTTTAAAATATGCATTTAAAGCAAGTGGGTCTCGAAAAATTACAGTTTTGAAAAGTGGGTCTCGGCCAAAAAGGTTTGGGAAGCCCTGCAGTAGAGCATTTGTGAGAAGGCCTGGCTCGCAATCTCCATTACAGTTCATCCCAAAAGTGTTCGATGAGATTGAGATCAGTTCTCTGTACAAGCCAGTCCAGTTTTCACACACCAAAGTCACTAAACCATGTCTTTATGGACCTTGCTTTGTGTAATGGGGCACAGTCATGCTGGAAAAGAAAACTGTTCCCAGAAAGTTGGAAGCATAGCATTGTCGAAAAAATGTCTTGGTATGCTGAAGCACCGTTGACCGTGGATTATCTAGCAGGGATGAAAGTTCACAAAATGACTTAAAGGTGAATTCACGAAGCGCTTGAAATCACTGAGCTCTTCAGAGCAACCCATTTTTTTTCACAAATAGTTGCAAGTTTTAAATGCAGACTGCATTGCTAGGTGTTTGATTGTATACACCTGTGGCAATAGGTGTGATTAAAACACCTGAAGTGAATAATTAAGAGGTGTGTCCAAAACACTGATGTCCATAAAATGTATATATGCATGATGCCTGCTTTTGTCCTTTAACACGTTAACACCGTTAAAGGGTGCTGTGCTGTCCTGTAGAAGGATGGCTTTAACAGTGTTAAAGCGGCATAACATATCCTAGCAATCAAAATTCGCCCCGTTCCCCATGGCCTGGATACCTAGCTTCCATCACGATCAGGGGGACTGCTTGACAACAGAGGCAATCCCCCTGCAGCAAATCCTGCCCATCCATATCATGTGATCTTGATGTCACAGCGATTACATGATTTAGATCTGCAGTTGACATCACTGCCTGTAGGGGAACTGCTTGGGTTGTCAGGCAGATAATCCAATTTATAATTAATAAAATCAAATCCTTAAGGGGAAAAAAAAAATCGAGAATTTTTTTTTTTTTTTTTTTTAAAGCATATGAGAAATGTTGTGTGGTTCACTTAGCTGTGGTGGGAGATAAAGTGATGAAAAGTAGGACAATTAGCATAGTTAGGTCTAACAAGATCCAACTGCAACATAATTGTCACCAGCCACTAATGATTTAGCTTGGGCCCATTGCCAGACGCGAAGGCCTTACAAAGGTGTCTCCCATCCACGGCAGCTAAGTCAATGCTACTCATAGAAGCAGGATTGGGACAATGTAGGAACACACATACATGTATAGAGAACATACCCAGGCTGGCACTATAGCAATGGCATAACAGGATCCATAGATATCCAAGAATAAAAATCAGGTATTTGAATTCAATACCTGATCACCATTAAAAGGGATTATGAACTAGGCACAATTTGGAAATTGGAACAAGTTTTCACGACAAGTAATCCCAACACGCAGAATATAACCCAAATTAGAAAACGTATAGCGTTTGATGTAACCTAGATGGAATAGTCGAGGTATAGCCAATGCCAAGGAAATCAAGAGATCAGGATAACGATAAGGAGTAGCCGAGTCAGGAAACCAGAAAACAGGATAAACGAGCCTAGTCAGGATACCAGAAAGCAGAATAGTCAATATAAAACAAGCCAAGTCAAATAATAAATCACACAGACAGAAATCGGTATAGCACTAGAGGGAACAACTAGTGAACCACAATAGGGCACTGAACAAAAGCAAAAGGTGCTCTTTTACAGTGGAACGTCTTTTGCTTTAAATCCACGTCCCCAAAACGTCAGGGAGCGTGGAATATTTTGACTTTTCGCGACATAGCCGCTATGACGTCGGCACACATGCCATGTCATAAAAGGAGGCGTGCATGGAGCGCCCGGCATGCGTCATGCCATCGCCAGGAGGAATCTGCACCCGGAGCATCTCCTCGTTGGTCCACGGGATTAAGGTAAGGTATCGTGACACAAGTCTAGAAATATTACCATAAATACCAAACTGTCTGAAATTCGTTAACAAATCAAAAACAAACAGGAAGCTTTTATAGTAATCAGCACCCAGACTAGAACACAGAGCAGAATGGAACACAGACTAGACAACAAGCACAAACAACACCAGAAGTCCAGTTTAGAAGTCCATGGATTTAGCCCAATCCATGAACTTAGATCAATACCAAGACACTACCTTACTTTACATACTCACTGCAGGACATGGTGTCATGCTAAAAGTAAAAAAAAACAAAAACAGACAAAGTGAAGGAAACAAGAACAGAGCAAAGTAAAGTAAGACAATGATCGAGAATAGGACAGACAATTTGGACACCAAAAATATGCAACAGAGAAATCCACTCGTGTTATCCCCTGAGCCTTGTTAGTAGGCGTCTCTGCTAATGTGAGTTCCTTACAGTGGTCTACAGCCAGGGTCCTAGTATTGCTACCAAGCATAGACACAGACTTCACATAATGGAGTTGGACATCACAAAAGCATGCATTTGGGGTCAACTTTACTGGGAAAGAATAGGATTGGGGTAAAATAGCAATGAGACAAACATAGACAAACAATTATAAATAAAACACATACTAATACGCTCTGGGATGACTCTAGTTATATTTTTATTTATTTACCTATACTTAAAAAAATATATAATTTACTTTTACTTAACATCATGTCAATAATTAAGTAAATGGAAAAAAATAATGCAAACATTTTCTCAGTATTTTTAAATGAACAAAAATTGAATGCAGGTATTTCACCAGTCCAATTCTATTTCGAATGCCATGGTTACTGGTGAGTTTCAGAAAACTATGTGTACACACCATTAATTACAAAACCATTCATTAAACATAACATAAAGTGGTATTTACTTTTATTAACTGCAACTGATAATTTTCCGTGTCTTCCATTTTTATGCTCCTGTCCATTTTTCCTTAATATAAATATATATATTTAAAATTGTATTAATTATTACTTATTTATTTTAATTGAGCTGCGTAATGCAACATATTGTTAATGCGTATGAATAATTGGTGTTGTAATGTGAATGTTAGGATTTAGGGTGAACAGAGAATCCACAGTTTCAACAGGTAGAATGCATTGTGTATATACATGATTAAGGCAAATGGGCCGAAAAATTGTATATATTTTTTTTGTGTTCCTGTCTTCAATAAACTGCATAACGCATCCTACCTGTTGAACATGTCGATTCTCTGTTGGATACTATTACTTGAAGATTGCGTCTTTCCACTACGGAGTATCAGGAGGTGCATTAGTTCCTACGCTTTTTTCCCGAAATAGTGCCACACCAATTTATTTAGGATTTAGAGTTGGACATATAGTTGAGTTTGAGGAGCAACTTCTGTCAATATACGTGGGGGCGGGGTTATAAAATATACCATTTGGCTAAAGCCCTTGTGCTCTCTTGCCACTCTACAATGTCCTTGTCCCCAAAGTCAAACATTCCTCATCCTCTTATTCAATATGTATTTTCTTTTTGTATCTTCTATGTATTGCTTGGATTTGTACATTTAATTTTTTCCATTACAGAATTTTTTGTGATGATTGACTGCTTCTCTTTTCGACAGTTTCAGCTACGTAAGCGAACACTGTAGCATTAGAGCTCTGCATAAAATGCAGATGTAAAATAATAAAAAAAAAAAACAAATAAGAAATAAATACCAATAAATAAAAAAATTATATATATATATAGTTTTTTCCTGGCTATCTCCATGGCAGTACAACAATGGGTAGCTTCTCACAATCCCTAATTAGACAGGAACTAATTTAAATACGGGTATATAAACCCCCTCCTGCTTCCTCTTCCCTCAGTCTTTTTGTTCCTGTCCTATCTCCACAGGACAACTAGTCATTTCAGTCTTCAGTACATGGCCCTGTGCAAAGGTGTCCCCTTGATGAAATCCCCTTTCGTGACCAGGGGTTTAACTTGCAGTGACCCTAGGGCAGTGATGGCGAACCTATGGCACGTGTGCCATTGGTGGCACGCCTGGCCCTCTCTTTGGGCACGCAGCCATAGCTCACCATCAATGCAGAGTAGGCACCTGCTTGCCCAAAAGGGCAGGCACCTACTCTGCTTCCATGTCGGGAGGACCGGAAGCAGGGGGGAGGGATCTGAGAAGCAGCTCTCCTGTCCTCCCGCGAGCAATCTGTGTGGAGAGTTGCCGCGCATTACCATGGCAACGCTCCACACAGCATCGCGCGGGCG